CACGTTTTTACCCAAGGACCTATTTAATTTAATTCTTAAACTTAGACTTAAAAATTTTGAGAAAAAGTATGAAAGTAGACATTTTAGTAAATTCTTCTTATGCTTGTGTACAAATCATGTTTGCTTAAATGGGTCTTGGATATCAAATTTATTTCCTCTCCATTAAGGAGTATATAAAAGTTGCTAAACTTACACTTCTCAAATATATAAAGGGTAAACTAGAAGAAGAACAAACTGAAACCCAAATTTCAGCCATGCAATTCACTTCACTCTGTGAAGAAGGCAAAAAAAAAAACAACAACAACACATAAACAACTTTGACTTTTGTATTTAAAATGTAAATATATGTATGTTATGCATATACATGGAGGTATATGTTACAGCCTATATGTATATACACATGTATACATATACACATAGAGTTGCCCCCATGTCGTATGCATACTTGTGTGAACAATGTACAAGTTTCTCTTTACAAAACCTTGTTATTGACTTGATTTGACATTCATTAGAAAAAAAAGACACAAAAGAAAATCTAAAAAACGAACGAAAAAAACAAGATCACAATTTACAAACAAAATAGGTAACATTGGAAAATTATGCAGGCAAGCTGGCAAACTGGCTGGTTGGGACACCACCGGCAAGCTAACCAGGCAGCCAACATGCATACAAACCAGACTCTTCTATGCAAACAAAAAAAAAACAAACGAAAAAATTGCCTAGGACAAGTTGTGTATACACCCCCTCCCTCCTCTATCTACTCCAAATATAATGAATGCATTTTCTTCTTCATCAGGGTTGCTTACAAAACCAGTAGATAGATGTGTATTTTTTTATGTTGTGTTTACTTTGTTGAAAACTTAGGGGGCATGAGATCAGTAGAATAAAAAGAATAAAATTGGTTTTTAGGCTCTTCACTTTTAGCTTGCAATGCAATGGAAACAAGTAATTTTAATTCCTTTTAGGTATAGATTATTTTTTAATATTTTTGCAATTTATTTCGTGTTTTTTACTCAAACTCTGTTATATTTACTTTTTTCGCCCACTGCCACAGGACTAAATTAATGGAAGTTGCCTTATTGAGAGTGGGAGAGAGTAAACTGTGTTGTTTTTGCCCCCACGTCATATTAGGCCATATTTACACACAATAACTGTGCTAAAGCAACATGGCCACATATCAAATTATTTAAATCAACGACTTATTATTAATTAAAATATAATTTAGCATTATTTGACGATCACACATTATTTTTGTTTTTGTAATAATAGTGAAGATGATGACTATAATAATAGTAATTATGATCATTTTTATACTTCTTCCAATATTAATGGCTAATGATATTTTGCTTGGTACTGGTTTCATTCAGCGAGCATGCCCGAAACCAAAACAAGCAGAAACTGGAAATCTTGCCTGGTGAATGCAGCAGTTGCCGTTTGTTTGTTTTCTACTTTTCGCCAGCAATATCGGTTTGTGTTGCAAAGAGAAAGTTGTTGTGTTGTTGTTACTGGTGGTGGCAATGGAGATGATGAAGATGATGATGGTGTTATATTGCACACATGAATGCGCGCTTGCCACCGCAAAATATCACATCTTCTCACACTCGCAGACAATCACTGCAAAAAAAAAAAAGAAAAGGAAAATCCAAAGCCGCCACAAAAACCAAAGAGTGTGAAGTTAAAGTGAGGAAAATCTCTAAACATGTGGTCGACATGCAATACAATATGCAGATGGTAGGTAGCTAGGCTCGTTTGTCTTTGGTTGCAAAAAAAAAGAAGATCCATTTTTTGAGCTTATTTTCTTTTGCATTTCCCACAAGACAACAACAGCAAAAATGGGTGGTAGCTCAAGTCACTACTGTGTGGGGTGGCTATGCCATTGGCGCTCCATTAACCCACCACATTATCATAAAAATGTGAAATAATGCAACATGGCAAAGTTGTTGCTGTACAACAACGATGTGCCGCCACAAATTGCAGTTGCTGGCTGATGTTGCTGCTCTGGCCGGGCTTCTTTCTCATTCATTTTCCTTTCCATTTTTTTTTGCATGATTGTTGTTGCAGTTGTCTTATTTTTCATTTCATTTTGTTTGGTAGTTGGATGTTGATGATGACGACGATGATGGTGTTTTTCATTTTCTGCATTTTGTAAGTCACGGAAAGGAAAGTGGCATAATAGCCATCTATCCAATGCTGCCTGCTCTGAACATGGCCAAACAGCCAGCCAGAAAGCCACATACCAAAACAAAAACGTGCTTAAGCCAAGTTTTCCCACTTTTTCCTCTGCTCTACTCGTCATCATGGTTTCTCATGTTTTTGCCCACTGAACTTTTCTTGTCGTGGTGGCCCAGTGCCGGGGAAGAGAATGGCAGAAGAGAGCAGAGCATGGAACAAAAAAAAGCCTGGAGCAACAAAATAAGTCTATTTGCAAAAGTTGCTGTTGTTGTTGTTGTTATTGCTGCTGGTGGTTGTTGCTACTGCAATTCGTTTGGTGGGTTTGTTGGTCTTTCGGTCGTTTGTATCACACACACACACACTCACCGACACATACATAGATTTGGAGGCAAAAAAATATACGTCAATAAACTTTTCATAGCACCCAGCACGTCATGCACGTGCATTATTCGCCCAACACATTCTCATGCAAGCAAAGTACACCAACAACCAACACAACTACAATTGCAAACAACGAAATGGGAAACTTGCACAAAAAGTGCAGAGAGAGAGAGGACAAGGAAAATGTTAAACAACAGCAAAAAAAAGAAATACCACGACTCGGCCGAGGTGAAGGGCATTTCGGTGCTAGAGAGCAATAACAACATGACACACAAGCACACATACGCTATATATATGTACATAGAGGCGCATGTACATATCTGGTATATAGCCATAGATATAATCCAAATAGTCAAGACTGGATGGCTGACATTTGCACGAGAGTAGTTTGCCTTCAAGTGCAACCACCGATGTTGATGATGATAATGACGACGACGACAACGACGGCGATGATGATGATGACAAGCAAGACACTCACTCTCTACATGTATGGCACACAAACAACCAAATACATTTAGATGCGTGCATATGGCTATATACATACATACCTACATATCGCTGGTATGGATGTTACAAATAAACTATGTGGATGGATGTTTGCTTTGCTTTGCAACAATCAAACAATTTGTACCGGGGGAATAAATAGACGATATCTTGTAGATAATTACATTCGATGTACAAGCACTCACATTACACATATCAACACACACACATATGTATGTATGTATGTCTGTGCTTTTTTTTGTTATAGGTACATCCATGTGAATGCAGTTCAAGTGCATATACTCTATATCTTTGGCAAAAGCTGTCGCAGCAACTATATATACACATGAGTATACACATACCTACATATATTTACATCTTCAACATAGTTTTCCATTCCCCGGGCATACATACGTATGTTCGCCATGCTTGAAAAATGCCATTATCAAGTTCTTCTGGACTAGTAAGGCAAAGATAAAATTGTCTAAAAATGAGTATTTTGTGTGAATATTTAAGATACATACATACATATATTTACATGTATTCTCATTTAGCTATACATGTATGTTTGTAAAATGTTGCAGTTTGGAATATCTTCAATTTATGAACAGCTACATTTTTATATATTATTGTATTAAATGTGATTTATTCGCATACATGTGTACACACGATGCGCTGATTTCCAAATGAAGCCATGGAGAAAGGCTCATATATTGGCAATTTATTATACACTTTGGAAATGCATTCTTTCACTTAAATTAGAGATAAATATATTTTTCTATCCATTAAACTAGTAAAATTGGCTGTCGGAGCGCCTTTTTGTTGGGGTATGTCAGTAATAAATCGAGTTTGGAACGCCTTTCTGCAAGGGTAGGTTTTAATCAACTGCCAGTGAAATGTGTAAAATCGGCCATATATTATGGATAAAATGAAATGCCAAATGAATTTTGACGAATTTATTCCCTTTCAAGCGTATTAAATAAACTATTATACATTTATACAACTAATAAATTTACCATTCACCGACTTTTTGTTCTTAATATAGAAGAATTCTTCAGTTTATTCCTTGTGGTAGTTTCCCTTTCATACTTCAATTTTAACCGTGTTTACACGATGTATGCCATCTATTAATTAGGGCTACATGGGCACACATCAAACCTCAAAATAATGCTAACGGTGAGACATTTTTGTAGAACTTAAAGTTTAGCTTCTTTACTATTAATTTCAAAAACTCACTTTCCTTCACGACAAACTTTTAACAGACGACATGGTACTTAGAATACTGCAACTCTTTCCAATAAATCGAATGGTTCTGTATTTGCTCTGCTCCAAAACCTGCAAGAATCTACTATTTTTGTAATTTTTTTCGATATCATGGAGGGAAAATCGTTAATCAGAGTAAAAACTTTCACATTCTTGCAGTTCTGGAACAAATCAATTGTTTAACTTAAGTTTCTAATTTCCAACAGCCATTTTTTTATTCTCGTTGATCAATTAATGTAAATGGTTATTCCTAGATGCCGCCAAGCAAAGGAGCTTTGTATGTCTGTGTAATGAAGGCAAACCCACAAAAATTTGTGTTTTAGTATTTTTTTAAATATATGCAGAATAACCAGTTGCCAATAACAAAAATACAACCGAGATACCATCAATTGACGTCATACCACCCTATACCAGATTTCCAGGGAGAGAGCGAGCGAGTGAGCCTCAAAACTGGCAACAATTCTCCACTCCACTGAAATGCATATTTTGTTGGTCATTCAGCACAAGATATACAACAGCAATCCATTTGTAATTCTAATCGTATTGGAATACAGAAATAAACCTTCAAATATTTAAATGATCATCAATAGTTTTAAGGCTTCAATCTCAACTTGTTGTTTTTCGAATATTTGTTTAAAGCCTTCTTGTTTGTGTGTTTTTTTGCTAATATTCCATTTTTCTTTTTTGTGTTTCCATTGCAGGACGAGATGATCTATCGCCTTCAAGTAGTCTCAATGGCTTCTCCACGAGTGATGCTAGTGATGTCAAGAAAATCAAAAAAGGTCCTGCGCCCCGTCTGCAAGAAGAACTGTGCCTGGTCTGTGGTGACCGGGCATCGGGTTATCACTACAATGCCCTCACCTGTGAGGGTTGTAAGGGCTTCTTCCGGCGGAGTGTTACCAAAAATGCAGTCTATTGCTGTAAATTCGGCCATGCCTGTGAAATGGACATGTACATGCGACGCAAATGTCAAGAGTGCCGCCTGAAAAAATGTCTGACCGTTGGCATGCGACCGGAATGTGTAGTCCCAGAGAACCAGTGTGCAATGAAACGGCGCGAAAAGAAGGCGCAAAAGGAAAAGGATAAACTGCAGACGAGTATTGGTGCCACAGATGTCATCAAAAAGGAGATACTCGATTTGATGACCTGTGAACCGCCAACACATCCCACATGTCCGGTATGTTGTTCTCTCTCGCTTCATAATTACTTTTTTCACAATTTAATATTCCTCTTTCCTTTCTCTGTATAGCTGTTACCTGAAGACATTTTGGCAAAATGTCAGGCTCGAAATATACCTCCTCTAACGTACAATCAATTGGCAGTTATATATAAATTAATATGGTATCAAGATGGCTATGAACAGCCATCCGAGGAAGATCTCAAACGTATAATGGTAAGTTCTTACGATTGCCTAAGAAATTACTTCCGAAAAACTCATAGAGATAGGACACAGGGGCAGTGTGCAACCTACCACTACTTTCAATAAAAAGTTTTTCGTATTTGCAAGTTGCTGAATTTCTATTTTAGACTTGTACCCTACGCTAAAGATTACCCTCAAATTGAACTGATGAATAGATTTAATTTTAAATATTAGATATCATTAAAAAAGCACCCAAGAGAATAAAATTAATTTTAAATATTACATTTCATTTAAAAACCACCCATTATGGCTCCCATAAATCTAGCCATAAACAAAATTAGCATATGTGTAATAACGGCCTTCGATCATATAATATGGCTGCCAATAAGAATTCCCGTTCTTACACGGCATGAATGAGTTGTCAATTCTCTGCAGCACATGAAATAACACATTGAATTACTTTCTTTACTTTATGAGGATATGTTTTCTGTTTCCCCCCCTTGTAGAATGAGAGTAATGCTTGACTTACTTAATCAAATAGACTAAAGCTACCATATGCAATTTACTTTTGAAACTCATGTTATCTCTCCTCAAAAAAAAAAAAAAAACGGGAAGAGAGACGTCATCTTTCACACTCTTACTTATGATTGTTCTATTTTCTTTTTCCTTTTCACAGAGTTCACCTGATGAAAATGAAAGTCAAACGGATGTGAGTTTTCGTCATATAACTGAAATCACTATACTCACAGTACAATTAATTGTGGAATTTGCCAAGGGTTTGCCAGCGTTTACCAAAATACCACAAGAAGATCAAATTACTCTGTTAAAGGTGAGTTAACAATTGTATATTTAAATTTACTTGGATTTTTTTTAATAATATTATTGTTCTTTTCCCATGCTAAGGCCTGCTCATCGGAAGTTATGATGTTGAGAATGGCCCGTCGTTACGATCACAGTTCAGATTCGATATTCTTTGCCAATAATCGATCGTACACCCGTGACTCGTACAAAATGGCTGGCATGGCTGACAATATTGAGGACTTGCTGCATTTCTGTCGACAAATGTACTCCATGAAGGTGGACAATGTCGAATATGCTTTACTCACTGCCATTGTGATCTTCTCCGATCGGCCGGGTCTCGAAGAAGCCGAACTAGTCGAAGCGATACAAAGTTACTACATCGATACACTCCGCATTTACATACTTAATCGCCACTGTGGCGATCCCATGAGTCTCGTATTCTTTGCAAAACTCTTATCCATATTAACCGAACTGCGGACACTTGGAAATCAGAATGCAGAAATGTGTTTCTCTCTCAAGCTGAAGAATCGCAAACTGCCAAAATTCCTGGAAGAGATTTGGGACGTTCATGCCATTCCACCCTCGGTACAGTCGCATCTGCAGGCGACACAGGCCGAAAAGGCGGCGCAAGAATCGCTGGCACCCACCTCGGGTCTGGTGACAGCGATACAACAGGCCACAACCTCCACGTCCATCAATACAGCGCTGGCCACCTCATCCACATCACCACCTGCCACAGCAGCTTCCACGCCAAATGGCGGTGACTATGGCACAGATATGAGTCTATCAATGAGTCAGTCGAACAGTGCATAGCAATAGCTGTTAATACATAACCATGCGATTGATGGTGGTGAAGATGGCGATGACGACGACGACGATGATGGTGATGTTGGAGGCAACAACAATGGCGTAGAGGGAGTTACAGTTCTAGAGCAAGCAGAAGCAGTTATTGCATTTGGCGATCATAGTTTGCAATAGAAGGCGTCGAGAAGACATCCCATAGATTGGCAGTTCTTTTTTAGGTTTTCTTTTGATTTTTCTTTGCAGCCACATCAAAGTTATGTTTTTATTTTCATAAATTAATTGTTGTTGAAGTTTTCTTAAATCGTCGTTGATCAAGCTAATGATGATGATGATAATAATACACTTCCATTGTTGAAATTTGTTGAAAGGAAAGTTGGACTCGTGCATGTCAAACTCTCAGCTTGTTTCTAGTCAGCATACATTACAGACAAAGAAGTATATTTAAATCCTGGCAGTTCCCTTATATAATATGACATTTAATACCGCATTTCCTTCTTGTATGCTTTGAACTCTATATTAGACCTCCTTATACTACCAACTGACATTTTTAAAGCATCCATCAATTAGACGAATATATATTTTGGTATTAATTTATACATATGTATGTATATACTACACATTTTGTATTTAATTCTAATATTCCCTCTTGACCATATAAAGTTGACTATTTACACATTTTATTAACTAATCCAAACTTTTAGGACAATTTTTTTTGGGGATTAAGAAAAGAATGGGTTTTTGACATGAGTCCACCAGAACATCTCTCATTTGATTTAGGAAAACCTTCAACAATTATGACAAAGAAAATACAAAATTATTAAAATAAAAAAAAATTAAACACTCACACATACAAAACAAAAAACCTGAGAGTAAAGATTGTTAAACAAAATATGTTTATTATTATTATTACTTATACCATAGTATTTAGGTTGAGCGATAATGTTAATAACTTCAAAGTATGATGTAAAAAGCCCATAACAATAACAAAACAAAATCAAATTTATATTTAATAATAAAAAGTCTATTATATACAATTTGGTATATATGAAGATGATGATGATGATGCAAAACAAAAAGCAAAAGAGAAAGAAATGAACTTTGTTTACAACTTCCTCCCAGACCTGCTGACCTGAAAAACTATTTCCCCTCCCCCTCAAAACAGTCCCGGTGAACTAGAAACACACAAGAAAACAAAATTAATAATATATTTATATATGTAGACATACATAAAAATGGAAATTAACCATAAAATACATTCTTACAAACTTTGGCTTTTCTTTTTTACGTTTCTTAAGATTTTATCTAAATAAACAAAATAAAAAAACAAAGAAAACAAAAAATAACTATTAAAAAATCATCAACAACTACTATTATATATGGATATATAAAAAAAGGAAAACAATAATGTTATAAATAACATATAATAATTAATATTATAAAACAAAAATACTTTTTTTAATTTTTATGGATAAAAATACGAAAACTAAAAAAAAAACAAAAACAAACTTGGACTGATTTCTCACATTTTTAGATCTACGAGTTACACAATAAGAAACCATGAAATGGAAACAAAAAATATTCATTTTTTAGAATTCCCTCCCTTGAAAATTTTATAAATTTTATATAGACAAACAAACAAACACAACCACAATGAAAACTTCATACATATTTGGCGGCAATTATAAAAACATAAATATATAATTTTTTATACGAAATCTAAGAAAAAGTAAAACAAAACAAACAAAAAAACCAACAACAAAGTGATAGTAAGTTATTATGTTTTGCTTTCTTTAGTTGTAACAAATTAAAAAAAAAATAACATAACGGCAAAAACATTTTTTTACATTTTTTGGAAAAAGACTTTGAATCTTTGTTTTAAGTATGCAAATCTATATTTATAGTTTTATTTTAATTATCGATAATTTTTTTTATATTCATTACCACATAAGCCCAAAATAATTTTGGCATTTCTTGGCAATTTACTTTTTTCCAAAAAAGATTTCCAAGCATGGCCTTATTTTTTATGAAAAAAAATGCAAAAAAACACACAAAATTTACAAGAATTTTTTTATAAATAATTTACACAAATTAATTACTTTAAGCAAAATTTTTTTCTAAAACATAATTTTTTAACAAAATTGTTTAGAACAATTTCCTTATAAGCTTTTGTTTTTCTAATTTTTAAAGATACTTTTATCATTATTATTATTTTTTTTAAATATAATTATTATGTATTATTAATAGTTTGCTTTGCTCTTATATAAGTGAAATAAATTATTTCCGATTTCAAAATTGTGCAATTGTTTTTATTTAAAATATAAAACTACTGAAAAAACTGTATAAAAAAGAAATAAAAACACATATATTTAATAATAATTTAAATAATGAAAAAAAAAATAACAATAAAAATTAAGCAGAAAAAAATTACATACGAATATTAATAATTTAAGATAATATGATTTCTGTTTTATTTTCTTTTTTTCCTTCTTTATTTTCGTTTCTCATAATTTAAACAAAACAAAACTGCATTGTATATTAAGAAGAAAAACAAAATACATACCCACAACAAACACACACACACCCATAATCTACATGATAATACTAATAAATATAAATGGAAAAATATCCTATGTAAAATATTGAATAAAACAAACAAAAAATTAAATAAAAACAAACTTGTCAAACAAATAAATACATTGAAATTTTCCCAATTGTTTCTTTTTTTAAAAAAATATCTGGTTTTCATTATTGAAAAGTGCAAAGAATAAAGGCATAGTCAAAAAAATATGTTGAACCCTGGTGTATGCCGTTTAAAAAAAACTTGTTTTAATTTTTCTAAAACATACACATTTTTATGACGAATGAAACCCCTAAATACCATTATTAGAGTTATTATTATTATTGCATCCAACAACAACCACAATATGTAAGCAGCTGTCATTAAGATCAGTGTAATGCAAATCTTATCATGTTTTTGCAATTACAAAACACTCTATTTAACTAGTTACATGCGTTTTTTTTTTTTTTGTAATATTTTATTGTTAAATTGATTTTATGATAGTTTTTTTGTATTTTTAATCCATGGGACAAGGTTAACAAACAGTAGTACCAGGGAAAAATACTTTCCTTGTGAATATCTTTTTTTAACATAAATAAAACTGAAAGAGAAAAAATACAACAAAGAATAGTTATTAAAAACAATAATAGATTTATCCTTGTGTTGTTTTATTTTTCCCAATGAAACATTCTTCCTAACTAAAAACTAACAAAAAATACTTAAAATAGATTAGTTGGTGTTTTTAACGTTTTCTTCACGTGTTACTTACTGCATATGCTCTTCCTCTTATGAGAACAATTTTCTCTCCCATTGCCTCCCATAATGACTTTATGACAGAGTTGGGAACTCAGTAATGTCGATTCATTGTTTTTTTTATTTTTCACACAGAATTGTTATATTTGGGTAAAAGTACAAAACATGAATGGAGTTTTGGGGGATTTTTACACAAAATTCCAAGAAATTGTGATATACAATTTGCAAATTTGTTTCAAATTTCATATTTAGAATTCTAAATGGGTACTATAGCCTATGAAAAAAAATTTTGTATGCAGGCCCACGTTTTCATATAGCCTCCATATAACGGTACCTCCCTATATTCGGTATTTGATGATTTTGATTTCCGGAATTGTTTCAAATTTGTTATTTGAAGTTCGCAATGGGAACTAAAGCCTATGACAGAAAATTGTCTGTGCAGATCCACGTCTACTCTATTCTGCAAGACAACCATAACAACAAAAGGTAGGATAAGACCTAAGGAAAAACAATGATCTTCTGGAAGTTTTAAAAATAAAATAAACTGGAACATTAAAAATTTAGTATTGAGATGTGTAAGGAATATATCTACAATGTTATTTCTAAGATATTTCAGATTTCACTTAACGCTTTAGGCCTCTAAACCAAAGCAAATCCAAAGCTGAAAACTATGAAAATGCATAAACAAATTTAAAAGGCATCTGTAAAAACGCCCCTTAACGGATGTTTACGGAAGTTTACGATATTATTTATTTGTTTCTCTTTTGAGAATGATCTGAAATTTGCAATGAAAAGGAAAGTCAGAGAAACACTATCACTCACCATTAAACGACGCCTTGCGCCTTTTGATAAGCCGTTCATCTGGAACATTTAGTGTGGATATGGCTTATAAGGTCTTTATTTTAAATAAAAAAGGTTTAAAATTATTATTTTAGGTCTTTCTTCCCTGCTAATAATAAAACCCTAATACCACATAAAAATCAATTGTGTGAAAAATTAAAGCATAAACATTTTCACTTCACTGCCAGATATAAAAACTTTATTTTTTATTTTATTTCATTTTCTAGTTTTTATTTTCGTTTTATTTTCAGAAAGGATTGAACATTGAAGTTTCGTACATACACATTTTAATGGAATGCAACAACGCACACTTTTTGAAGACAAAAATCTAAAAAAACCGAAATATAACTGAAAAGATGCATTTGAATTTTTGTGTTTTTCTGTTCATTTTTAAGAATAAATTAAAATAAAATGTATAAAATAATAATAAAAAAACTTAAACAGATAATAATTTTCTTTTCAGTTTTTTTGGGGAAAAAATAGTACAGAACAAATACAAATCAATTATTAATAGCAAAAACCTTAACAAACAAAAACGATATTAAACTTATATCAATACAAAAACAATATTCGATTATTAACGTTAAAATACGACATTTCCACACAAAAAAGTATGTATTTAAATAGAAACAAAAATACAAAATACAAATTTTGAAAAAAAAATGGTTACACTGCCACAGAGAACAAACAAAAAAATGTTGTTTTTGTTTAGAAATATATCTTCTACATGAAAAATGCTGGGTTTGCAACTCACATTGGAAATCATTAAAAACAAAAACTATAACAACAAAATGGCTGCTATCGTATAACAAACTAAGCTTTTTTGCAAAAACAAAAATGATGTGAAGAAGAGAAATTTTCAAATGGAACCTCACACAAACAACAAACAAACAAAAGAAAAATAATTAAAAACACAAATAGGTTTTTGTTGAGAAATAACCGATACCTGATTGGACGTTCAAAAGAAAAAAATAAAACAAAAAACATCTTATAAAATAATATTTAAAACAAAACAAAAATGTACCGGAAACTCTTTGCAAAACCAAACACGTATAGCAATAATGAAGTATGAAAACAAAATACAAAAACCAACAAAACAACAAGAACAACAAATGTAAAATAAATGTAACTAATAATTGGGACTGTGTCAAGTTGGCGGTTAAAAGAATTTCAAAAATAAATAACACATTTCTTCTTTTCAATATTCAGTCAATAAATTTACCAATATAGTGGGTTACTTGTAAAGATTTATTTTTTCTATTTTATTTTCTTTTTCCAGTATTCAGTTTAAAATGTAAATATCTAAAAACAAACCAAAAAAAGTTAGTATAGTCAGTTGTAATAACAAATAAATTTTCCTCCAAATAAGAAAACAGTATGAAAAGAGATCCCCATATTTTGATAAAATGAAAAATGAAAAGAGAATAAAATGTTTAGGAATGAGATTTTTGGTTTTTTTTTCTGACATAGATAGATTTGGTAAAAAAGTGTAAAATGTTAACAAAAGTGTTTGTTTTTACCTAGTAAAGACGAAAGTGGTATGTAATTAAAGGGAAAATAACAAGCATGGGGGGTTTATATAACGAGGAAAGTAAAGAGTTGCAGAGGGCATATATACTTTATCACCTAAAATCTTTTTATTTTCTAATTTATTTACAATTATCAAGCAGTAATTAATTTAATTGAGAAGGAACTGGCATCAGAATTATTATTAAATCCAACTAAACAAAGAGGTTATTTGCAAAAACGGTCCTCTCACGATAAATTGCTGAGACCGTTACAAATTGTCTCTTCTTTAGTATGACGTTTATTAGGAAGATTCACAGTTCACAGCTTTTGTATATAAAGTTCAATGTGATCTATACGTTAATGCTAGAATTATTTTATCTCTTTTTATGATTTCCACAATGAAATATATAAATTATTGGATGAATTTGAACTTGGACGACGTATAAATTATTTGTCTATGTATTGTATGTCTATGTAATGTGTATTCCAGTGCCTATTCCTTACTTTTTTAGATTTTTTATGCGATCAAAGTAAAGAAATGCAAAGATGGGACTTTGACATTAAACGCCCAAGACCTTGCTCGTTATATGCCAATCATGTTTGTTCGGCTAAGAATTAGCTTAGAAACCACATTTGAAACATGTGAGCTAAATTTATTTTTAATTTTTATATATTATAGAATGTTGCGAGAGAGAAATAAAGAGATTGTTAGATTTTACTGCTAAAACATTATTATTATTATTATTCAAAAAAACAAGAAAAGGAGAGGACAAATAAAACAAATCAACAATAAAACCCCTGTCGTAAAACCAACAAAAAAAGCCTATATTAAAGATTTATGTATGTTAATAAATGTAATTTGTAACTGAAGATGGTGCACGTGTAAAACAACAACAAGAAGAACAAAAAGTATATAATAAAATTATTATTATTCTTATTGGTTTGTAAAAACAAAAACTTACATTAAAGAAAAAGAACAGCAAAACTGAGAAAACTATGAAAGGTATTATAGATATATATTTGGAACATAGAGCGAGATGAAAACGAGAGCATTGTATAACTAGTTATACACTTTAGTAAAGAAAATAATTTCAAATGATAAACATGTTTTTATATATAATAAAAAAAATAAATAAATAAAACGTAAAAACTTAACTTATTCTAGTATCTAATTTTGTTTATTAATTTTATTTATTTTTTTCAAAACAAAATAAAATAAAAGAAATACAATAAATTTTCATTAAGCCGAAACATTTCTAAAAAAACCAACAACAACAACTTATTAATTATTATAAATACGTAGTAAGTTGTGTAAAAACAAAAAAAGTAAACCAGAAACCCAAAAAAATGCAGAACAAAAAAAAAGAAAATGCGATAAACCAAAAAAATTATTATATACATACATATATAAAGTCTATATTAAACAACAAAGAAAAAAAGAATAATATATATATCTATATTTGAAAAATATTTAAATTACCAATAATTGAGTTTTCTTTGAAAAGGGGAGAGAAGGGCAACCAATCAAAAGGAAAAAAAAGGTAAAGTAAGGCGAGGGAAGACGAAATATAGAAATATGCAAGGTGAGATAAAAAACTGCAACAAAGCCAAAGACCATAATATTTCATTTTTTTTTTTTTTAATTTTATTAAATGAAAGCAAAAAATTTCGGAAATAGCATCAAATTTTATAATAAGTTTAGATTTGTTCGAATTGGTCACCCCTGGCAAGAATTATGGCCTTCAAACGGCCAATAAAACCGTCACACGCTGCCCGAATGTTGCTCGGCTTGCGGTATTTTGGCCCATTCCCAGCGAAGCGCTTGCTCGACACTTTGGTATTTTTTAGTGCCAACCTTGCTTTCCAAAATACTCCAGACACAATAGAAAGCATATAAAAACCTATATTATATTTGAAAAAAAAATTTTAAAATTTTCGGCACATCAATGTTCCTAAGCGTTAATGCATCTACCTATATTCTTCTACCATGGCCGTAACCATTTGCAAAATAAAAAACTATTTAGTTTTTTCAAATCGAATTTTTATTATGATTTTTTTTTATAATTGTTGCACACAGTTTTCTTTTAAAGTACGTTTTATTGATTTTTTTTTTGTTTTTTGTTAAATATTCTATTCATGTCTATAATTCTCATTTAATGAAACATAAGCTTTCATACGCACGTACATACATTTTATGTGTATATATCGATTGGGTTAGTAAACAAAAAGTTTTGTTTGCTCGAGTTTTTTTTTAATTTTTGGTTTGTTAAAATAGTTAATTTTTAATTAAATTAAATAATATCGTAAAAAGAATTCTTTTGTTTAAATAAGAAAACGAAAAAAAATTGATAATATCAAGTCTTACAAAAAGAGAATAATAATAAGATAATAATTTAAACAATTATCAATATTTTTGATTTAAAATGAAATTCTTAATGTGAGTGAAGAAACATAAAAGGAAAAATTATAGTTGTTTGCATGTGTGTGTGTGTGTCAGTAGTAGTGTTATTGTAAATGTTCATTCGGAATGTGATGAAATTTCGAAATGTGTCCCACGAAATGGAAGCCACTATTCAATAGTTAATTTTTACAAAAAGAGATAACGAAATTGTTCCTTTAAAAAGTCTAACACGATCAACGCGTAGCGTTTCAACTTATTCATCGAGCAATTTAAAACGTTTTAGATTGCCTTTGCGAATATCAACGATGGAAGTTTTCTACTCTTCCTTCATTGCTCGTTTTTCGTTTAACAATAGCTCATGTACCAAGATATCCTCGTCGGTAGTGACATCAATCAGTTCCAATTCAAGTATTTGAGTAGGTGGTGTTGTGTCATTATCATATTTTATATTCTTTATAACAGATACAAATGTCTGACCCACAGTCAGCTTACGGAAAAATTTACAATCATCTAGGGTCCAGTCTCCATTGACAGCTTTAATACCTATTTCAAAAAAAAAAAACGGTAATGTGTCATGAACATACATTACACCTCTCAAATTCCCATTTGGAAACTTACCATAAAGCCTGGCTTGTATTGCCATTTTAGGTAATTGACGAAACTTGAGGGGCAATATTTTCAAATGACTCGAATCCACAGTTGCCGAATCACCAAAATCACAGAAACGTACATGTATCATGTCGCCGCACTTCTTAATAGCCGTTACCCTAAATCCAAATATGGAATATAAAAAACCAAAAAGGAGGACATTTTAACGGGTATTTACCTGTGGAAGAAAGAATCCGCATTCTTGGCTGCATAGGCTTGGCCAATCTCAACCATATCGGTTGGTATAAACTCATCACTGTTCTCACAAAAAGTCTGCAATTCTTTCATAAGAGTCCTCAAATTTGGGTAGTCTTTGTAGGGTTGTATCTAAAAGAAGTGTGAGAAGAGACAAATTTAAATTAAACGCAACTTCCCAAGTTGTAGCAATTCAATGCCTAAGCTTACAGTGAAATTTGAAGGATTGGCCGACATTGTTACACGCACTTCAAACAATTCCCCTATGGCCGGTATATTGCTATAATCATTAAGTTTTGGCAAATCGCTTACTTTTTGCGGTGAACCAGGCACAGTGGTTAGAGTTAGTCCTCGCGTAATGTCAATAAACGAATTACTTGTCGGGGTTTTCGGAGAAGCCAGGCTGGTGGAACTGGAATTATCTTGACTGCTCTTGGAAAAGTCCAAGCGGAATTTCGAAATGGAATCGTCTTCCTCGCCGTCGGTGGAATTGTTGGGACCAGGTAGCATATCAGCACTAAACACAAGCAAATCAAAACGTAAAACAGACAAACAAAAAAATAAATAAACATTTCTCACATACCCCATCAGTTCGTGCTCATTGCGTATGACATCGTTGATGGTGACCAAAATACCGGGACCTTCTAGGCGTGTGTGTATTGTAACCTGGGGCACCGGACCAGGAATAGCCATTTTTGTCTGGAAAATAAAAAGTATAAATTCCTCAAAACATCACAAACTACACTTTACACCTACCAGCACTTCACAATCCTTGGGCAAAAGTCCGCGAATGCGTCCAACAATATGTTTCGATATTTCTGGAATATTATGCAAACGCACCTTAATGGCCTGCTCGGGGAATTTACTCAAAGCCAAGCTTAAGCTTTCCAAGAGGAATATTTTGGAAATATCCACAGATTTGGTTATGCCCTTGTCCACGTAATACATTGGGTAATTGTTGCTATCCTCCTTAATGGTCTTGGCACCGACCACAGATCCACGGTACCATTTGACATCGTTGGCATCTTCATCATCGCAAATTAAAAACATATTGGAACGTTTCAAGTCCTCGAATGTCACCTTGTGCTGGTCACGATTCAGACGTGTTTCGATTATTTGTTGCAAGAGCATCTGCAGGCGGGAGAAAAGAGATCAATTAGATTTTATCAAATGTCATAAAACAACAGCCACAACAACTTACTTGGACATATTTCAGCTCAGGACTTTTAATTTGCACAAATATATCACCATTGTCACTGACATGCGACACAAAGGTATTGGTGACCGTATTTTTATTAATCTCCGGCGGTAACGTTTCATTGCAAATCATATTGGATAGCTGCTGATTGAGATTGATGTCCTCTTGGGTAGAGGTGTCGAAGAGTACCACCTGTATTTTACCATGGCATTTTGAGTTGGTGTCGTAGAATTCACTCTCTTTGGTGAAAACTTTGCCAACTGCAGACTTTGTGGCCAACAGATCTTCCAGACATTTGCGTCCCGCTGGATTACCTTCGAAATCTTCAAGGCCATACAAGGAAAATGGCACAGCTTGGGCTGGTAGCCGCAGGAAATGAGTTTCGCAAATAAACAATTGCTCCACCGGTAACCAATCAGCATCGCCAAAATCAATGAAGAAGCACAAGCAACTGGCCTTGGACTTGTCAAGCTCCTCCACTCGAATACGATGCCAACAATCGTTGATACTAACCAGATATATGTTTTTGCGTGTAATCGAAACAGGGCGTTCCTTTTTATTGGCCATGTAAACCTCTATGTCATTTAGCAGGGCACTATAGCGCCCACTGTAATCCGCACCAAATAAACGACCCCACACCTCCACCGTTGAGTTGCAATGAGTTATAAAAATGGACCAATATTCGTCGGACCAAGGAAGACATATGGGATCGATTTGTATGACTTTTGTTTTGTCTTCAGCGCCCAGAGGTGTAATATCTGTAATTGAAAATATATTTAGTTAGTTCCAAAATCGGAAAACTACATTGGCCATTACCCTTATCGGCATCTTTGTTGGCAAATATAATGGCCTTGGTTAGTGCAGTGTCTATGGTGAACAAACTGGATGTTTGTATTAGCCCAAACCAATCTTCGGGTATTGTTTGTTGGAAGTTAGTCTCAAACCATTCCGGGAAATTTTTGGCAAATACTCCATGCGGAAATTTCAACAACTCTGTGTACAGTTTATCCAACAACTCGGTGCTGGTAAAGGAACAAGGCGGCATGGGCCGTTTCTTCTCTTGCATTTGCAGTTTGTCCAAGGCCTGTATGGCACAGGCCTCTTTTGCCAAATACTCAGTCTCATATTGATGTGGATATGTGGAGAATATGATGTCATTCACTTCTACACGACACGTGTATCTTCCACCGAAAAATTTGGCCTTAATACAATTGAAGCGAGGAGGAGGGAGTTTTTTGTAACGACAAAATTGTATTAATGCACTAATTGCATCAACTTTGGCATGTTGAAATGGAGGCTGTTTGTGCTGCAAAAGAAGAGGGGGGATGGATTCAATGTCAATGGCAATTCAATTCAAAACATACCTGTGTTGGAAATGCCGCTACTTGGTTGACCACTTTAAGGCGATGTTGCAAACCGCCTCCCATGGCTACAGGTTTTAGTGGCACATCGCCTTCATTGAGAGCTTTTGGAATAGTGGCCTGTGCTTTAATCTGCTGCTGTTGCTGCTGATGTTGTTGGTGAATTAAGGTCTGTTGCTGCAGTCTAGCAGTCAAATTATTTGATGGCAGGTAAATGGGAGTGTTTTGCTGCTGGGCTGGGGTTTTTTGTGGCCTGGCCATGGGAGCTTGAACCTGTGCCGACTGTTGCTGATTGTTCTGATTGACATTTAGCCGATGTTGTGGTTTCTGTCCAACCTGCTGAGCCGGGGTCGTCTGTGGCTTGTTGCTGCTAGTATTTTTTTGAGACTGCATGGACGATGACGATGAAGTAGAGGAGGAGGACAACGACTTTTTATTGTCCGTTTGAACCGAGGGCTTTGAGGCTCCTAATATGGGCCTTGGCCCAGCAGCAGTTTGTGGCGATTGGTTGTCGTTTTGTGAGTTCTTTTGTTGCGATTTGTTTTGCTCATTGGCCGAGTGTTGCGTTTGAATCCGTTGATTCTTCTTGGAATTCAACATATCACGTAAATCGATTGGCTGGCTGTTGCTGTTGCTGCTGCTACTGATGCTGTTGCTATTGGCACCCTGTGATTTTTGCCTTTGCAATTGCTGATGCGCCGATTGATTGCTGTTGCCACTGTTTCGATTGCCGTAATTGCTGCTGTTGCTATTGCTATTGTTGTTGTTGTTGTTATTGCGATCACCACCAGCAAATCCGTTCGATCTATGAGCAGGCATTCGGGGGGGTTGTTTCATAGCCTTCACCGGAGCAATACGTGTCGATTTGCTTGGTTTTTGAGCTCTGACCATAGAAGCAATATGAGCAGTTTTCGAATTGAATTTCGCGGTGATTATGGTCTGAAAACAAAAACAACAAACAAACAAAGAAAGAAAACAATCAGACAGACAGAGTTTCGTTTATAGCGAAAGAAAGATTGATCATAACTAAAGGAAACCACACTACACACAATCACTTTTCCCCCAGACGAATGTCTCTCCTTCATCCTCCCCCTCTCGTAAAGAGGAAAATAAACAAAAACACTAAGAAAGATGTATGCATGTTGTATAGATAGATAAACGTACATACTGCGTACATACATGTATATATAAATAGCTATCTATTTTTAGCAGGAAGAAGTAGAAGTGAAAGATGAAAAACCAAGCATAAACAACAATTGCAATGAAAATGATAAAAAAGAAAATCTGACGATGGAAAATCTTATTTTTTTTCTTTTAATTTCGGCACATCAATGAAGGGGGTGAATGGAATGCAGCCAGCAAGTCTCATCTCACCCGTGTGGGTGGGTGGTGCATGGGTGCGTCTGTGTGCTGCTCTATAGTAGGTACAGTGTAAACGTGTGCGAGTGTGCATTTTTCTTTTTTTGGTTCAGAATTATTATATTTTATTCTTCCGAAATATACTTACGTCTCCACTGCCTCGGCTGCCATTGAACAAAAACTCTCCAGTATCTTCCAAAAGCTCTTGGGCTGTCTTGTAGCCAAGACTTTTGTATGGCAGCTGTTTGCTCTCTACTTCATTATATTCGCGTAAAATATCTTTTAGATAACACGGTGGCTTGGTCGATGTGATCAAAGCACGAACAATCGAAGCGATATGCTTCAATTCTTGTTGCTTTGCAGTGGGGGCGGTGGTAGTGGTGGTGGTAGTGGTGGCGTTAGACATTGCACTGAACGTAGGTATGGGAAAAACATATATGAAAGAAACAAAAAAAAAAGAAAAACATACATAGAGATGATAGACATTGGAAGCATTGTTAGGTGTTTGATTTTAAAACATAAAATTATTAGCATTAATTTCAAATAGCGCGTTACGTTGTTATGCTCCTCTGTAATGGGAATCGTGCGTGTAAAAATAAATCAAAAACAATAAATAAAATAGCGAAGTAATAAATAACTAATTTTAGTCAATAATGGTGTGTGGCTGAATGGAATGAACAATTCTTCAGTTCAGTTAAATACAATATTTCTAATCTGGACATTGACAAAAAATCGTTTAAGTTTGAACTATCATGAGTAAGCCTTTGGTTGGCTGTCGTGGCAGACAAGAAACAAAAGCAACTTCCTTAGCTATGGATCGGTACCGATGCTTCCAGCCAAGTCAGTTTATAATTGTGGTAAGATGCTGTATATAATAGTTATGTGTAATATATCAACAGACTTTGTGTAATATTTAATAAAAGTCAAAAGTCTTGCTCTTTGAATTTGAAAAAATTAAATTTATTTTTCTGACAATATTTCAAAATTTTATCCTTAAATAACATTTACATTCTACTGTACATGGCTTGGAATGGATAGGTTAAAGAAATTTTTAAAACTCAGACGCTGGTGTCTGCTTATAGACCTACTTTTTGGCAGAAAAAAATGTGTACCAATGGCCTACCTTGCAAATTAATGCACCATGCTGTACTAAACTAAATCCTGGCAACATTTAAACTATAAATTGCAATTCGTACATCAATCAGGCCTTCTAAGGCACATATACAGACTTAAGGTGCAAGTACATAAAAAGCTTGAAGTCATGGCTAGGCATATTAATGTCAAATTATAAAGGAAAACGACAGAAGGATTTTAGTGCGGCTCTGTAATCCCTTTACGAAATGTCATTAAATATGCCTAGCCATGATTTCAAGCCTTTTATGCACTTACACCTTCACTTTAAAATAATTCGAAATAATTGCAATAGACAACAATTATATTAATTTCACAAAGTTAAAGCTATTTGCCACACCCTTTCCAAATATGCAACATAACATATACTACCTATACTGTAAAAAAAACAATAATTGTTTATTGTCTGGCTTTGCCTAAGCTTAAAGATGTGTTTCAGCTGGCTTTCCTCGTTTCAAACCATTTTCTGTTATATTCAGATAGAATTGATTCTACATACAAATTCAGACTTTGTGGGTAGATCTGTCTGACTGCATTGTTATCGATAACACAACATTCTTGTACAATGAAGTCTTTTGTTGCCTCAATTCCTAACTTTGTTGTTCGTCTGCCTTTTCTCCAATAAGAAAACACAAGAAACGCAAACATTGATCATTGATCTTCTACAACCAAACATCATCATAGCCTTTCCATATCATATACAACCACAAAAACAAAAGAAAACTTGTTGATTCATTTTTTATGTTATTTTAATTAAACAATTATACTCACAATTAATTAACTGTAGCAGCAAGCCTCCAAACAATTTTTACAAGTCACTTTAACTAATGAAAAAAAAAAGAATAAATAAAATGTACATATATATTGAGCATTCATATATAGTAGTTAGTTGTGCATATCTAGTGCTATGTGAGACACTCCAACATTCCACTTTCCCCCAAAAAAAAAAAAATAATAACAAAAAACGAAACGAAATAATGCCAATTACAACTTTCACATTGCAATGCACCTCAGAATTGTCGGGATGTTTATAAAAGTGACGGTAGTTGACTTACATACAATAAATCTCTTGTTAGTTTACTTATATCGATCGTTGTTGCTGTTGAAGTTTCCAGATGTAATGGGGAATACCCAAATAAAGTCGTAAAAACAAATTGTTTAAATAATGCAACAGAAAGTAATTCACAATTCTCCTCCTCTTGCCACGAAAAACGAAACGATGAATTTTTTCGAACAGCTGTTTATTCTGGATGTATATGTTTGACCCAAGCCAAAGCTGAGTGCTGCAAAACACATCTTAGGGAAAATCGTTCCGCAATGCATTAACGTAACTATGCAAACGTTATTCCAAAGCTTTTTTTAAAATAAACAAAAATAAATGGAAAAGTTGCTTTTTAATACCAATCTCGATGCGTAAATGCAAATATATTCTAAATAAAAACCTTAAAAGAAATATCGAAAAATGTACTAAATATTTTTAATGGTGAAAAAGTTGCTATGGAGTCATATTTAATTAGAATTTTATGAATTGTATTTTATGGACCATTTGGTTGTATACTAAACTTAAACGTAAGATAAGAACATGCGGAAGATTCAGCATTATAGCTAAATACAGGTTGAGATAAAATAACTGCAACAAAGTCAAACGCCATAGTTTTTAATTTTTTATTAAATTTTATTGAATGAAAGCAACAAATGTCGGAAATAGCATCAAATTTTAGAATAAATTTAGATTTGTTCGAATTGTTCACCTTTGGCACGCATTACGGCCTTCAAACGGCCAATGATCTGCGGTATTTTGGCCCATTCCCGGCGCTTGCTTGAGCTGATCGACACTTTGGTATTTTTTAGCGCCAACCTTGCTTTCCAAAATACTCCAGACACAATAGTCCAGCGGATTGGTATCCGAAGATTTTGGTGGCCATTGTGCGCTGGAAATGATGCGAGGAAACTCATTTTGTAACCATTCTTGGTTGGCGCGCTGAGTTCTGTAGAATTTCTAAGGTCTGCGGTCAAAATGTTTGCTATATTTAATACACCCTCCAGAATATTTTCGCGATAATATTCGGCATTTATTCTTATGCCAGGGTCGATTTATACTAGCGGAGAGCGACCATCCGCTGTTATGGTGGCCCACACCATCACCATGGCCGGCGCTTGAGTTCTTGAGCTGGTGGCCAACCGAAGGTGCACATTTTCAGCTGACCTCTTTGTTTACAAACTGCTGGACAACGAACAACAGTCTGATATTGGTTGCAGTTTTTTCATCTCACCCTCTCACTGGTACTCGTTGCTTTAAATGGTCTAATATAAAATCTCGGTACAGTAATTTTCAATTGCCTCTTAAAAGTGTTGTGTATCTGCTTCCGTAATTGTGGATTCTTGAATGTTTGGAACAGTCCTTTAGTACCCAGTGATAAGACATCAAACTAAATGGGGGTAATTTTGCCATATTCCTTAATTAACGCCATCTATTGTTAATTTTTTTCATTATGTCTTTCTCTCACTCTCTCCGGTTTGCAATGTATATCCATGCATTGTGTTTCCTGTTTGGAAACCCATCCAATGCACCAACATTACGAAGAGAAAGTCCAAAAATATTTGCCATTAGTTTTCTTTCAACCACCGACGACCGACGCCGTTGTTTGGCGGACGTGTTGTCTTTTTTATCTAAAGCTGAAACTAATTTTTGGAATCTCTTTACATTGAAGTGTCAAAGCTCGGCAGCAAGAGAACATAAAAGGACTAACAACGGATGAAAATTCTGCCATTCGGATATCAGCAAAAAAACTCTTTATAAATATTTTTTGTCTTTTTGTGTTCTGGCAAGAATTTTATTTCAAATTTGTTAAAAGACATATTTCATTTGTCTTATATAATTTATAAACGTGGAAATTTTTCGTTCGATTCTTCTGTGTGACGAAAGGTAGAAGAGAAATCAAGAAAACGTGTTACGAAACGAAAGTTGGAAAATTTCGGAGTTTTCTGTGCGAAATTGTCGACATTTGCGTTTTTAATTCGGGCATACAACGGCTGAAATAGTGATGACCATGGACTTGTCAAGAAATATGTGTGTCCAAAGTTTAATATTAATTTTATTTTATTATAACGGTTCCTATAATTGGAACAAAAAACTGTAAATTTTTCGACAAAGACAAAGTGCGAAAAAACCATAAACTATAATATAGGCATTTCAAGGATTAAGTTGAGGTAATTAAAAATGCAACTGGGAAAAATATTGATCCTTTCAAACACACGCACACACACGCATATTCTTAGAAAAATAAAGGCAATCATTTTTACTGTACCTCTAAATGTCAGCATTGGGCTTTGCCACAGAGTATTGTTTGTTTAACAAAAAAAAATGATGGAAAAAAATTCTATGGCCACATTTTATGATATTTTGTGAAAACAAAGAGATTTCCATTGTCTACTGCGCAAAATCTTTACATGGCCAGTAGTCAGTGACAACCACCACCATCTATCGTCATCATAATCGTCACCGTCTGTGTTTCACAATAACTTTCCAGGATGACCATATGTTGTACGTAGGACTTGACTTCAAGTCACGTGGCCAGCTTTTCTTCTTTGTTTTGAATTTGTAGTAAAGTTGTGTTGTGGCTTTGAAATGGGAGAAAGGGTGATCATTTTGAGTTTACAAAGAATGCTTTGTTTGCATTGTTCCAACGTTGAAAGGGAATATTAGAAATAAAATGTGTACAATGCAAAAAATACAAAATGCCGTCCACCAGTTTATCCTCATAAAGGTATTCGTTTACAAATTCAAATTAAGTCCACGTTGATATTAAAGTTGTTTTATTAGACAGTTGATCAATTATCTTATATTTGACAGACATATTCATACGTTTTACGTATGGTAGAAGAATACAGGTAGTCGCATCAACACAGCTGCTAAAAAATAATTTGAATTTGTAAAAATTGTTGGAAAATGCATATGCGGACAACCTCAGATTTGCGTCTTATATGAAAACATATAAAAATCTACTTATTTTTAAAAAACATTTTAAAAATGTTGACATTTTAATGTTCCCTAGCGTTGATGCATCTACATGTTTAAGGGTATCATAAAGTCGGCCCACCCGGATACTTTCTTAAGACTTTCTTTACTGGTTATACATTACATTATAAATTATAATTTCACAGAATTATTGTCAAAAAGCTACTTATGTCAATTTGATGTATGGCCCAGGCCAATTTATGAATTAATAAAGCATGGTATATATTATCGATCATCTTCATTATGTTTGCGCGAAACAATATGGCAATGATGGGAATATATTTTTATTATTATTGTGATAGATTTTTACGTCAATTTAATTATTTAAAACCCGTTAAAAGGGCATAACGGTAACCCTGACCTAAGCTACTAAGCCACACATCAATTTAGCTATTCTTCAATAATGATTGCAAAAAGATTTGTTATTGTAGAGCTTTGAAATAAATCTAGTACAACCTATTAACATAAAATAAACATAAAATATGCGGGCATTGCAATCTAATGCCATTAGCATTCTCTCCGTGTGTGTGCGCGCCAGTAAATAATCTGGAAAAATTAACGACGACATTTATTGATTACAGTGGCTGCTTCCGACAATATCAATGCTATTTTGAAAATACATTTTTCACAATGAAAAAGAACTTGTTTTGATGGCGCGTTATCGGCATATATTTACATATTTGAAATGATACAGCACTGTTCAAAATTATTGGAATATTTTCAATAATATTATTTGTTGTGATAGGAAAACTATTATTATACCCTACACCACAAGGTCATCAGGGTATTATGTCTTTATGCATTTGTTTGTAGCAGGCAAAAAGAAACGAGGTAGACCGATAGTTTCCTTTGATCCAAGAACGAATCCTATTGAACTTGGATATAATCGGTCAAAATTTAGATATAGCTCCCATATATATCTTCGTCCGATATGCATTTTATTGTGCACCAAGCGTGTAATATTAGCCCAAATGGGATGGAATTTGGCATTTACGATCAAATTGGGTCTAGAAAAAAGTATTTCAAATTTGGTGAAAATCGGTTCAGATATAGCTATAGCTCCAATATATATTGTTCATCCGATTCGTTGAATTTATCCTGCACAGACGTAATATGCACTCGGTAGTAACGATATTCGGGGAAATATATAAAATATAGCACAGAAATACCTTTGCCAAATTTTATCGAGTTCGGTTCAGATTTGGATATAGCTCCGATATATATCTTCGTCCGATTTGTCTTTTATTGTGCACCAAACGTCTAATATTTGTCCAAATGGCTTGGAATTTGCCACTTATGACCGAATTGAAGCTAGTATGTAAAATTTGGTGAAGATCGGTTTAGATATAATCATAGCTCTCATATATATTGTTCATCCGATTTGTTATATTTGTTACCCACAGCCGTAATATGCACTCCGTAACAACGATATTCAGGGAAATGTATCAAATACAGCTCAGAAATATCTTTGCCAAATTTTATCGAGATCGGTTCAGATTTGGATATAGCTCCCATATATATATCTTTATCAGATTTCAAATTAATTGTGCACCAAATGGGCAATACAAGTCCGAATTTAAAAGATACAACTGCTTCGGCATATTTATTCCTTTGAACTTTAAATTATAATTAAAATCATAGCGTGTATGATTAAATTCTCCCATAAAAACTTTTAATTGTTATGTGGAGCTCTACTAAATTAGCAAAGTGGTGTAGGTTATCATAAAGTCGGCCCGACTTTATATTATATTTCACAGAATTATTGTCAAAGAAACCTATTTAAAAAAATCTACATATGTCAATTTGATGTATGGCCCGGCCCAATTTATGAATTAATAAAGCATGGTATACATTATCGATAATTGCTCTTGCGAGGAACAGTGTGGCAATGATGGGAATATATTTTTATTATTTTGATAGAATTTACTCAGTGAGTGATTTTGAGAGAGTAAGGCTGCAAATACATAAAAAGCTTGAAGTCATGGCTAGGCATATTAATGCCAAATTATAATGAAAAACGACGGCAGGATTTTAGTGCGGCTCTGTAATTCCTTTGTGAAATGTCACAAAATAGGCCGTGCCATGACTTCAAGCTTCTTATGTACTTAGCCCTTAAGTAACATTCTACTCTTTTTTTCTAAAGAAAAACAGAAGCAGTTAACTATTGTCATTTTTTGTGAGTTATCGACAAAAGTCG